TGTCATAAGTGAATCATCACACTATGGAACTGGATTATAAATGCATTTCAATGCATTGATAATTTCTGAAAGCATTATTGGTTTGGTTAAGACACACACATAAAACATGACTTGTCAGCAGTCAGGGAGTTTGCAAACCATGTTTTTGTAGCTCACACCCTTTTCATGCCGTGTCAGGATGCACACTTCCTGTGCTCTAGTTCTCTTTTCCCCTGCAGACAGCAGAGTTTGCTCTGCCAGGTCGGTGTGTGATGGCCTCTCTCCATTAAGCAGTGTGTGCGTGGATGTGTGCAGGGCTGCACAATTCTTATGGGACATTTGTGTTTAATATAATTAAGGCTACTAAAAGCTGATCTCAAGTAGCAAATATATTTCAGAATTGGTTTTTAGAAAGTGCAAATTCAGAGGTGTTTTGTATATTCATAATGAGCAGCCATTGTCTAATGACAATTTACACTGAATGTTACTTGGAACACAGTCTGATGAATATTTCAACGAGGTCTACAGTCAAATATCTTACAACACTTTCCATGACCCAATATGCAAATCAGCTGTGGGATGTGAGAGGGCTGTTGGGGCTTACTCTACATAGATTTAGACTGTTTTAACAAAGGTTATTTATTAAACATTATCGACATTGGTTTTTTCACCACTTTCAAAATTCAGGAGGGGATTTTATCTTCTTTAGGGAAACAGCTAAGAAGTAGGTCGGGAACCATGACTGCAAAGAGGCCACTCCAGGGAAGGGAAAGGTTAAGTTCAGTTCTAACCAGTAAAATAAAAAGGTTGTGAGGCTGCTGTCATTTGTGAAAGAAGAACTTCTTCTGAGTTATTATTACATGTTGAACTATTTAATATGTCTCATTTGTTCATTGACAATAGTAAGGTTAACAAAGGGGATTCTTACCGCTATATATTTGAGGGAGTTTAATTGGAGACTACTGGAAGAATTATAATTTATATTAAATAGAAAAGTCTGGAAGCTTATTCCATGGTTAAACATGTCATGTAAAAGAATGAAATATTGCCAAAGTTGTGTGATGTGAATTTGGCATCTTTGTGAAATCACTAAATTCACTTAGCAACTTAAGTAATTCTAGTAATTACCACAATAAAAAATGGATTCTGATTATTGGACCATATTTTTTCCTGCTTGATACTGTGTGAAATTCCTGCTGAAAACAGGAAATATCATAGATTAAAATTGACCAAACCACACTGCAAACCTAAACAGAATTTAAAGGCTTAGGCTTCTTCGAGCAGAAACTTATATTCCCAAAAGGTCAGGACATATATAGAAACATACAAGTTTGTCAGTTAAGAAGAGCAGAGTTTGGGCCATTTTTTTCCCCTTCCTCCCTCAAATATATTGCTGAACCCTCACAGCACCAGGGAAAACCCCACTGACTTAAAATAGTACAGTGGACAAACTAAGTGGCCATGACAAATGCAGACACACACACACGAAATATTGTTTACTTAAGTCTTTAGCCAGCTGGCCCTGTGAGAATCTCGAGCTTTCTGTCCCTGTGGCAGAGGACGAAGATCATGGGATACCCCAGCTGCAGCATGTTATCTCATGCAGTTTGTGTGCATGGACTGAGGATACCTTGAAAAATCTTTTTTGCAAAGGAAAGAGCAACTAGTGAAGTTTGAGTGCTCCTGAAGCTCCTGAAGGGCTGACTCTGCTCTGCAGAGCCACGAGCTGTGCTGTGTGCAGGAATGGTGTGTGCTGTTAGAGAGTACAGGAGTCAGCATGTTTCCTCTGCAAAAGCTGAGAATTGCAGAGGAATGGTTTGGTCCAATGAAGCAGTGTCATTTTACACTGGTAGAAAATTGGCACCTATCTCTCTTTCTTTCAAATGCATCATTTTAGTGCTGACCTCCACTCAAAATGAAGTGTGGTAAAACCTATAATTAGGAGAACATCAGATGACTTGTACAAAAGGAAAATGAGAGTTGTGGGAATCATTTACAGTGTATTCTGTTAGACTACTGTTGTAGTCTCCTGGCATTTCTGTCTTGTTTTGTCTTCCTGCTCATTTCTTCATCTTTTGGAGTTAAAGTCTTGGAGTTCAAAGTCATAGGTTCATTCTGACCTTCAGTTTTAACTAAGAAAAAAAAAAAAGTGAGTTCCTAGTCCTAAAAGCTGCAGAGATAAGCTGAAAGTGAGCTCTCTTGAGGCCTCAGGAATAAGACAACTCATGTTCTTAAAATATTTGGGAACAGCAGTGCTATTCCAAACGAGAAGCCACCAGATGCCTGTATCAGTGTACTTCTGAATTAGGCAGTAAGCTTGTGCTCAAAATATAACTATTTTATAATAGTATTAAATATGCTTCCTCTCGTTGGGACCTTGTCCTTTTCTGTGGAAAGAACTTCCAAAAGCTTCTTTTCCATACTGATTCAAATGCTAGTTTCTGTAGCAAAAAAAAAAAAAAAAAAAAAAAAGAGTAGCAGGTTCTACCTTATTTTGATTATTCTGAGGACAAATGATTCCTTAAATAAAGACCTTGGCAATTTTGTAGCAACCTCAGTAATTCCTTCCAAGTATTAGCAACAGTTTATGAAATCTAAAACTTCAAAGTTCTTGCTTTTCTGAAAAAAGATGTCCCTATCATCATCATTATTAATATCTATGTACATTTGAGTTTGGGAAATATGACCATATAAGTACATGTGATTACATCTGAATGTATTAATTATCAAATCATGCATGTTACCTATTTAAGGTATTTTATATAATATATAGGGCATGCAAATTGGTGTCTGAATATACAGTAATTCTACAAGGGACAGTCTTGACAGCCACATGGCAGCATAATTCATGCAATTTTCTTAGAAAATTCTGTAGTAGAGCCTTGTAGCATCTGTTTGAACTGAAGAGTTTTTCACAAAGAGTTCCAGAAAATATTCCCAAACCCATAGCCTAAGGAAAAGACTTCCATAAGGAGGTGCCTATTTAGGTGAGCAGGGTATGCTGTGGTCAGAGCACAGAATTGGAGAAGCTCTGTCTCATGACACTGCTGACTTGGCTGGAGGAATGAGCTAGCACGGGTGAGGAGATAATTCCGAACTGATTTAGACAAAGAAAAGGTAATGACTCTGGAGCACAAAGAAATTATGATTGTGGGGCAAATAATGCTATTCTATCAGTAGTTCTAGGAATGAGATGCTAATTTGGGATAGATGTTACTTTTACAGCGACTTTCCTGTTTTGTGGTTCTTTTTCTTTTCCTATACAATATTTTAGGGTTAGCATAAAGCAGCTCTCAAGCGCAAATCTTTCAGTAGTGTGGCTTCCAGGAAACAGACTGGAAACCATTGAAAACGGCATGGTATTCAACATTTTCACAAGTGGTTTAGTTATTTTTGTCTGGTTTCACAAGTAAATCAGGCTGACAGGGCTGACAATACCCATGATACAAGCCACTCTCTGTAATAAGCAGGAACTCTCAGAGAAAATCCGAAGTCTGGTGAATGCCAAGAAGAGAATAAGCCAGTGGATTTAGCTCTCTGTTCAGCTCAATGGCCAATCACTGCAGCAATACAGTGAGGTGACTGAGGTGTGACTTAAATCAGCTCTCTCCTCCTGTGTCAATACACAGCAGCAATACACAAGCAATACACAGCAATGTTGCACCTCGTGCCTTGACTACCTTGCAGTTTTGTAAAGCTTTGGTTTTGTGAAGAAGGCAGACATCTCCACATCTTGGTAGGCACAGAGTTGTGGGAGATGCTGTGTCACAGAAGGAAGTGGGAGATGGGGACAGTGACAGGAGAGACACTTTAGCAGGTAGACCTGTTTATAAAATATATAAATAAAACATATTTGTACATAATATGTAAACCAAATAATACATATTTATTTTTCCTAGGAGTTGTAAGTAGGACTTACCTATTTTTTTTCTTTTTGTTCTCTCATTAGTTGATTTGGTTTTTGTTTTTTTCTCCATAATTTAATAAAGTTGTGAAGAAACAAATTTCATAAAATTTCAAGGATAAACATTTAGACGATTTATTTGCAAATACTTTTTTTGTAACAAGAACTAACTTGATAACAGATATTAGATATTATTAGAAGGCTGGAGCACCTCTTATGAGGAAAGGCTGAGAGAACTGGTGTTGCTCAGCCCGGTGAAGAGCAAGCTCTGGGGTGACTTTATTACTACCTTTTATTACCTAAAGGGGGCATGCAAGAAAGCTGAAAAATGTCCTTTTACAAGGTCATGTGGTAATAGAAAAGGGGGAATGGCTTTAAGCTGAAAGAGGGGACGTTTAGACTGGATATTGGGGAGAAATTCTTTACTGTGGGGGTAGTGGAACAGGTTGCCCAGGGTAGTTGTGGATGCCCCATCCCTGGAGTGTTCCAGGCCAAGCTGGATGGGGCTTGGAGCAACCTGGTCTAGAGGAAGGTGTCTGCCCATGGTACAGTGTTGGAACTAGATGATCTTAATGTCCCTTCCAACTGAAGATTTTTGATATTAAGAGAAGCAGAGGGTTATTTTCAACTCATCTTCTCTATATCTTTTCTCATTTTATAGTTCTCCAATATGTAACCTTTTCTTCAGTTTATTTATACTATTATTTGCTGTTTCGTTGTTTTTTGTTTAGAATTTTTCCCCCCCTCTATCAGTTTGTCCTGAATGAAAGCCAAAACTGGATCCTCTGAGATTACATAAGCAGATGGTGCTATGTTTGGCATATTTCATTCCTGTGATACCAAAGCTGATCCCACGCTACTCTTAGTAGTTCATCAATTTCAGATATTAACCATGTTCTCTAGAAATCCTGAGCGAATATCTCTCTGTCCTTGTAATTTGCTCTTGCTCATTTATCAATATAGTCTAAAAGCTTTCCTACCAGCACTACACTTAGAGGCACTTCTAGGACTTTCATCTGTTAATAAAGGCTCTGGTATGAAAACATCCTTTCCTGTAGTATTAGCATAATGTAAAAAAAAAAAAAAAGGAAAAAAAAAATTTCTTCTAGGGTTACAGCACCAAAGGAGATTCCTGCCTTTTTCTTTTCTCATTGGGGAGCCTGTTAGCTCTGTATTCTTCAAGTCTCTGTCAAAAAGTTTCACATGCTTTCGTTCTTGAATGGACACGAATGATGAATGTAACATGTTAGTGTAGAAAACACGGTCCAGTGTACAGGATGTGTCACAAAAAGTCCATGTTATTTCCCTGTGTGCAATACATAGAACTTATTAATAGTGTCTTTATGGTTAATTCTGCTTTAAGTGAATTTCTGAAAATACTGGGAGCATGTGAACCCTTGCGTATAATGCTCACACACCAATGAAAGACTGAAATATAATGCAATCACAGAGCTTTGAGTGGGCTGGCTTGCAAAAATCCCCTTTCAGTACATGGTAAGAATATTCACAAGGAAGCCTGGGGGATAGGAACTTGTGAACTATAAATTCTTCTGCTAGTTTGAACTGTACTGACTTTGGTACACAAACCTGAAACAGGCTGATGCTAATTGAAAGTTTGAAATTAGTAGCATTTTAAAAAAACCTGTGATATGAGTGGAAGTGTTGGAAAATGCAGGAGGCAAATAATGTAGACATGGGTAGAGAGAAGAACTAACCATTAGCCTCATGAGGCTTTTTAAAAATTTTTATTTAGTTAATGCTCAGGAATGCTGATGCTGAGATGTCATTTCACCATTTTTCTACTGACTGCATCAGCAAGGTATTGGGACACTTACAATGAAAGTGTTTCAGCATATTTCTTCAGTTAGAATCTCCTTTTTATTCCAGTCAGGGCAGAATAAAACTCATCTGAAAAATCCAAGAGGGGGACGGAAATGCTGACACTTCAAATGCCTGGTTCAAAAAATCTGATGCCCATGCTGCTTTTCATTCCCACAGCTCCTGAATACATTAGCCATGTGCCCTTTAAGGACAACTTTTGTCATTGCAAACACTGTTCCTGATGTCTGGTTGCACTGTGCCAGTGTTTGTGTAGGGTTTTAATCATTGATAGTATACCTGAGCATTCATTTCTTTCTTGCTGTTTCTCATGGTTGCTTTTTTCCACTGCTATTGGTAAAATGTTTTAAATAGTTTCTGCTCTGCCCATATTTGCTCTTGAATCAAAAGGGAGTAGTGGTGAAAATATAAGCCAGGGAATGTGTTTAATTTTTTTCAGTCAAGCTCAACACTTTTTGTGGGAGTTTTATCCAGTGGAGAAAGGTTACTGCTGAACAGATTATTACATTCCATTGTTATCTTGGAAGCTGAAAACAGTCTATGAATAAAGGTATAAATTAATTGAAGTGTCACAGACTGCAATAAATTTTATTTTATTTCTAGATGTAATTGTTGTCATTTAACCCTCTATGATTTGTATTTAGAAGTTGTAGCATTGCACTGGTGTATCTATTAAAACTACAGCAGTATAGTTTTCTTTTCTTCTTTCATCTCTCCAAGTCTTTTACCAATCCTTTGCATATTTTCTTTCTTTTTTTTTTTTTTTACTTTATTTTCTTGCCTTTTTTTCCCCTCTCCTTATACAGGAGCAGCAATAGATTCTTTTTCTCTCCAAGGGATGGTCTTTTCCTTTTTCAGAAACTACCATCCTGCAGCATATGACTGTGAAATTGTCAAATTTTGAAGGAAATAATGCAATCCCTTGGAGAAATTCGAGTCTCCCTTTTCCAGTACTAAAAACTCCCTTTTTTTTCCTTGCTACTAAACGGGAAGCCAGCCTGTGAAACCTGATCTGTTTTCTTTCCTGAACCCTCTGCTAATTTACTAGCAATTGTATGTTCAAGACAGAATACATATTTCTTTGGAAGGCTGTACAGAGACTGATGCTTATTCAGAGCTGCTCAGAATTTTAGAACATTAGGAAATATGCTGTCTAGTGCCGAGCTAGTGGGCAAGGGTTTGAATAAGACAACCTATCATTTTACATTTCAGTGCAGCTGCACTAAATGTGTTAATATTTCAAATAGTCCTGCAAGACGAGACCTACATCTGGATGTCTACTAGAGTACACCAAATAAATATTCATAATGTAAATATTGTTTAAAAAATTGTAAATATACTTCTTCAGGGGTTAACTGTTAGCCACTTTAATTTCTGTTTTGACAAAAAAATACTCACTTCGGCCAGTAACTAAAAAGATTGTGCAGATGGAAACCTTAGAGAAGGGCTGACTAGCAGTGAAAAGATTGTTGACAGGAGTAATTAGCACATATCAATTGCAGAGTAGCCTTTCTCATGTGTAAAGTAGATACTTTCCCTTTATTTCTTAATGTTAATCCTGGGGAATAAAAGGTTGCTGCCCATGGCAAGAAACGAAGAGCTATGAGCTCAGATGGATGCAAAATGACGAAGAGCTGATGAAGTCAGTAAAGCTGTACTGATTTAGACCTGTGGAGGATATAAAACTAAACTAAATCACTTAAATGAAATCAGCCACTTGCAGGTTCTTGCAGCTACAGGTCTAAATAACTTTCAGAGATTATTGTAGTTGTAGGTTTTCATGCTACACAAAGATGCCTTTTTTTGTTGTTGTTGTTTTGTGGTTTTGTTTTTGTTGTTTTGTTGTTTTTTGTCCTTTGTTTTGCTTTGTTTTTTCGGATTAGATATTCCAAGACCTAATTTATTAATTTTCTCTCAGTGTCTGATGTGTGGAGCAGAAGATTGTGGGAGTATACAGAAGAGGCCAAGAAGGTCTCCAGAAAGAATTTCTGATCTTGCCATTTTTTTCTTTTAAAAACATGTGTTAGAAGACAAGGAAGAGACAGAACAACTGTTCAAATGGCTGCTTTCACAAATGAGACTTGTGGAAGGGCCAAACCTTGGTGGTGTGTCATGTGTCACACAAGCACCTCTGACAGAGGCTGGAGCACCACTTTCCATTGAGGTGCCTGCAGCAGGCAGAATCAAGAATCTTCTGTGAAATGCTTCTATTGCCTCTTGTATTTGTTTTTGTGGAAATTTAGGATATCTTACATGATTTTCTGTATTAATAGAATTAACAGAATATAACTTCAGGAAAGCACATAAATCCAAACCCATTCTTGTCTTAAAATCCGTCTCTCCTTTCCATTTTTTTCTCCTAAGACATAGGACTACCTCAGATACAGAGCACCAAAACAGCCTGTTAAATTCTGATAGATCCCAGCATGTGCCATTTACCCCTCCTTCACTTTAAAGATAATTTTGGAGGTTAATGAACTTAAACGTAATACTTTTAAATAATCACCAGAGATAACAGAAAAAATAATCAAGCATCTCCCCAGACCAGAAGGGAATGTTTGATCCTAGAGTCACAGGCTGATTTAAATTCACTACTGTAAGTCCATCACTTTCAACTATTGATCTATGATAAGACATTTTTATTAATTTTTCCTTAGAAAAATTCACTAGCATTGAAGAAGATTCAGTGTGCAGGGAAGAGCTCCTTAATTTGACTGATTAGGCCAATTTACTTAGGCTTTCCTGAAAAATAAAAGGATGTACTGTAAGTCTTGGACTTCATCTCTGAAATGGTTAGTCGATTCTCTGGCAATTAATCCATACCTTGCTTTCTTAGACTGACATATATCATGCAGTGCTCTTTACAAGAAACACTTCTATATGTGCATTTTGTTTTCTCATCCAGCTGTGATAAATTCAATTAGCTAAGGCCTCCACGGTTCCCTTGCTGAGATTACCTATGCCCTGATCATTAATTGGTCAGAGGAACAGTTCCTGGATATCTCTTGTTCCTCTGTCCCCTGGGTGAGATGGGACAAGGTCTGGATGGACCTGGCCTGAGGAGATTTCCTGTGCAGACTATCAGGATGGCAGCACACGTGCACCATTGGACCTCAAACAAATATGTCCTGGAGCAGTAAGGGTCAAGGAGACAGACTGTAGAATCACAAGGAAAGGCATGTGTTGTGGTTTGATTTTTCACCTGGACATACAGAGGTAATAAGGCAAAACCAAGGTTTGTCTTACTCTATTCCATCTTTACAAGCACAGCCTGCAAAAAAGCTTTTTGTATCCTTTGTCATTTACATCAGACTACAAAGAAACTCTCTCCTGAAAAAGTGTTGGGAAATCAGAGAGGCTAAAGTTAAGACTGTCAAAACATTCAGACACTGGAGTATACCAGATTTTCTCCCCTCACGTAGTTTCAAGGAAAAACTGAATATAGTTGCAATTTTCATTTATTCATTAACTAATTTCACTTTATGAAAATGTTGGCTCATTAGTTTCAGATTTTTGAACTATATGATTCCTGCAGATCCCAAAACACCCAAAACCAGTTTTTAAAATTTGCTTGAGATGGATGTGTCATGCCACATATGCATTCTCTTATCTTTGCTTTTTAAACTATTTTTATTGCTTTCATCAAAGAGCTACTTGGATGGCATTATGTGAAATGATTGCAGTCCTCTGGCTGTTCCTTGAGCAATAGGATCAAATGTCTGCTCTTGCAGGTAGGCAAACAGTGTAATACATTTTAATGGAGTTTGTACTTCCTCTCTCAGTGTCCACCGGTGGCCCAAATGTAGCAATTTTCAAGGCACAATGTATGCACATTTTGTGAGGTTTTTTTAATGGATTCTTAATTTTGTTGACCAGAAGGGAAGGAAATAATTTGTTTGGGTATGGAGATTCACTTGTGTCCTGAATATTACTGCAGGAACTCTTATAGAAGTGTAATCCCACCATTAAAATATAAAGTAGTAACTAAAGCTGGGAAAAATCAGGGGTGGTGATGTTAGTTGCCTTTAATTTTTCTTTAGCTGTTTTTTTTTCGTAATCTTTTCAGAATATACCTAGTAGGCTCTTGAATGACTGTATTTCACAAATTGCTTGCCCAGCTGTATAAATTGTGGAGAAAATAATAAGAATTAAGAACAATGAATAATTTATCATAAAAAGTGAATTTTGTCAAATAAATTATTCAGTGATATTATCTGACAGCTGTTACTGTGGGGCCTAATTAATGAGTGTATGCAAAGCACTCTAATCTTCAGTTTATGAAATGGATTA